CTTGATGGATTTGCTGCCAGCTTATAGTAATGCTGCTTCGAGGGCTTTCTGGGCTCCCAAGAGTTCCGCGTCATAAGCCTCTGTACCGAGGAAAGAATCTGCGCCGCTCCCGGTCATTAATCGTCGTCTGAATAGAGTGTATCTCAATGCAGATTTTGCCGGCCCACAAGATGAGCCGTCTGCGTGCGCACATGTAATGTCGGCTGGCAAGTTCTCTATCCATTGTTCGGCTAGAGTAGCTTCAGACTGCTTGTCTTGCGTCACTGATCGGTAGCTACGTTCAGATTTTGGATAGAAACTCTTCAGACTCCACAGCAAGCGGTACGTTCTGAATGCTGGTCTGCAAACGCGGCAGGTGATGCTCTGGATTGATGAACGATCGGTTCTTCTGTCCTGTGCGGAGTCCTAGACGGTTTATGGTTTCCTTTGTATTTACTCGAGGTCTGGCTACCATAAGATGCCAAATATCCATTCGATGAATTCGCGCCGCAGCTCTCAATTATCTCTGCCGAAAGATAATTGCTGCCGGAGGGATACCATACTCGCTGTGGAGAAAATTGTTGAGGGGCGGTTCGCCATGCAGGTAGTGCTATCCAGGAGATCAGAATGCCAGTCGACTCTCGTGCAATCTTTGTTGCTCTGAGAAGTGGTGATCTAGGTCAGCTTCGGCCACCATGCTTCGGCTCTCTACATTGCTGTATTCATGATACATACCTGTACTGTCTTGATCATTGGTTCCGGGCTTGCGTCCCGTTTCACGTTTTTGATTCGCCGTAAAAGTATGTTAGCCATTGTGATTTCCCACTCAACTCTTGCAAATGCTGCTTGATGTTGAGTTATGGGTCTTTCCATACTCCAAGCCATTTGATATGCGGGGAAGGGCTTATCCTGTTACTTTGGATCTAGATAGCAAAGGCTATCGTGTCCAGCTTTTTCTTGGGATCCCCTCTAATTATCGATAGGTCGGACATCGCCGGATCAAAGCCTATTTCATGCTCGTTTGCGAGCTGCAAGACATTCTACACTTCTGCTTGAATATTTTCCATCGTTTCGGCAGCTGTATTTCCAGTGGTTAGAGTTCCGATAGTTGCGATATCGTCTGCATACCTAAGCTTGTTGATCTCGCTCCCATATTTGACAAGAATGGAAATGCATAGAGGAATTAGGAGTGGTGATAATGGTAAGCCTTGCCGGACCCCACATTCCACGACTTTGTCTCGGCTTATTCCATCCTGGTGTCGAACATGTATCCTTCGTCGGCTCAAAAATGACTCGACCTATCGGCATAGTAGCCTGGGCCACCCTTGGTTTCTCATCCGATGTTATAGCCGTTTGTGAAGGACTGCGTCTAATGCGCCATGCACGTCCAGGGTAACCATAGCTGTGACCTTGTTGTTCCGCATTGCTGCCTCTGTATCGTGTATAATACATGAAACAAGGTCGACCGCTGAACATCCTAAAAGTGCGCCGAATAGTTGTTGAGGGACAACGCGATGTTCGATTAGGAGCCACGCCATTCCCCTGGCTACTATTCGTTCTAGCTCGTTGCCCAAGCAAGAGAGAAGGGAGATCGCTCATCATCCTTTGGCAGTTGCCAGGTCCCGTCCTGGTCTTGGAAACATGATGACTTCTACTACTCGAAATAAGGTGAGAAAGTGTCGGTGCTCTAAATACGCTTGAAAATTTTCCTTACGTGCCGACCTCTGGTTGGCCAGCATAATTTCAGCTGCCGCACTGTCATGTTGTCTAAGACTGGGGACTTATTGTCTGTGCCAATAGTGCTTGTCGTCACGTCCTCTGGTGAGAGTGTCACGTTCCATGGGATTGACTCTGATTGATTGGGCTCCCACGTGGTGAGATCGCGAGCTGCGTCGAATTTAATGAGAAGAAAATCTCTTGGGCCCTCTACTCATTTGAGTGGGTCTAATATCATCGTATCCTCCGCGATTTTGAAAAAGGGGTTCGGCTCACTGCATGACTCTGAAGACTTGTGCATCTGTCGTGGCATTTACGACTTGCTTCCTCTAGTGGTCCCTTTTTGCCGCTCTTCCTGCATGGTTAAACTTTTTCCGGGCTAGTATTGCGTTCTCCATGCAGCTTCTGGCTTCTTGGTACTCCAGTTGTTTTTGTTTGTCATTCTGCTTGATGATGCGATTTTTATCGTGGCCATTTTCGCTCAGGCTATGAGCCTGCGATATTTTACAACATGCGGACGGAATCGTTTGCTTGATAGATTGTCCTTCCGAAAGTCCGATATGTTGAACTCTCATTTGTTTGAGGTAGATGTCTAGTGGAAGGACTGAGCATCGTTGTCTAAAGCTCTACTGCTGGTGAAATTATATGCCCCTTCAGCTAGCTTGAGTCATTTTCTTTGGATACTTCTATTAGATGATGTTATCAATCGTTGGATTGTGGATCTTTTACTTCCTTTATTGATCACAATTGTTGGTAAAACATGAAGTAATACAAATTGGCCGTCGTCACGAAGTCGGTGAATAAAGTAAATTAACGGGTATCTTGAATTACATATATCATTATCACTTTCTTTCCTCTAATCCAAGCGCCCCGCTAAAGAGCTAAGTCAGATCTCTGTGAGAATCCTAAGGACATGCTGAACACCGCAAGGACATAGAAGAATTCATAACGCCCAAATTTGATCCTTTTACCGACAACCATTGTCAGTAAGAGTTCAAATTTGATACCTACTGATACCCATTCTATACTCAACGTGGCATGAGACCGTGAGAAGCATTCGACCTTCCTGAAGTTGCAAAGCATATTCGGAAAAGAGTCAGTCCGCGCTCAACAAGGACCCACCTGGTGAAGGCAATTTTATAGACATGCCAGCAACGCTGTGAGTGTCCGCAGAACGACACAAAACGTCGCACACAAACCTAGCGAGTGAGACTTTGTGAAAGAGTAGAAAAGAGAGAACAGACCATGTAGACAAGCAGTTCAGAATGATTATAGACGTAGAAGGATGTTATAGGCTATTGCCTTGTAATGGGATCCCAGTTTATCCGGCTCCTTTGGGCTGATTATGTCAGCGATAAACGAAACAACGTCTAGAGGGTGGTCCCGCTATGAAATGTTTTCCCTATCTGGACACAAAATAACCCCATTTTGGATACACTCAAGCGGACAGCTATTCACTCTGGTGCCATCCTTTCCTAAGGGGAATAAATTTGATCGAGGGAGATTTTTCAACTTTAATTGACACTTTGTGCGCCGCGACGTTGTTTGCGATGTGAAGTCTGCAATATAAATGACGCTCAAAACACGGTTGTGGTCGAATGGTGTTGTGGTAGATCCGAGCTGGTCTCTCGAGAAGAGCCAGAACTGAATGTATACAAACTTCGCCCGAGAAAATACTCGGCTGATGCTGATTTAGCAAGACTCGATCACATCTGTCGCCGTGTTCGTCTGCAGAATGACCAATACATGCATGGATAACTAGAGGTTTTATAACTTCTATTCGTTGGGTACCTTCGATTGATTGTAAATTACTTTGCATAACTAGATATAACTCGGCGGTATTTCAGTGTACTCGAGAGTATATTTTCTCTTAATTCAAGAGTTACCTAAGAAGCACACAAAACACTGGCTATGTACCACGGTTAAATAGCTGTAAATGAGCTAAGTTGTAAAAATGGTGAGATAAAATCTTTGACCACTCAGGTATGTTTGTACCATCTCTTAGGCAAGTACCGCGAGTAATTAATCTATGCCTGGCTGGATTACGTGCCGCGATCTCAGGACTCAAGATAGGTACAAGCCCCAACCTTTGCTACTGCGCCATCTATCCAGAACAGTTCCTCATGTTGCAGGGGCTAGATGAAGAGGCTAGCGCATGGTGCCATGAATCCTAGCGACCACGCGACGATGTTGACTCCACCGATCGAGTCAGGCCGACAGTGATGTCGGAAAAGCTAACACCTCTCACCTTCAGTCTCTCCGAGTCCTCCTGCTTTGTCAGACCTGAAACAACCGCGGGTCACATTCCTTCGAGAATTTGTGCTTATCTACTAGTTTCTATTGGCCACCTTGAATCTATCCACGAAGCTCCTAGATGCTAGCAAATTGCGACGCGCATCATAAACTCCAGCATGACGTATAAGAAATGTTCGACGTTGATGCGCTCATAAGGTTAATTATCTGCCTTCTGCACAAAGACTTTCAGGTGATTTGTAGGTTTGGAGATCATGGGACGAGTCAGCTCTACACATCAATATTTTTACCGAGCCGCGCTTTGATCGATGTTGCTGGCATGCCTCGATGGGCCCGGGAACGCGCCTTCTAGACCCGCCCCAAGTTTACGTCGCGAGCCAATGCACAGCAACTATGGATAGTAGGGCGAGTTTGTCTTCAGTCATGCTCTATCACAACATTGACCCAGCATCCATTTATCTCTTATAAGTCGTCAGGCACAAGTGGATGCCGGACCCAGCTTACAGTTACTATTTCCACGTCTCATGTGGTTTATCTGCACTTATGCCACTGTTCATCCCTCTACAAAATGCTAGCTTCCAAAGCTGGACTGTAGCAATTAAGAATTATTCTGGACCATCGTTGCCTTGAACATGGCTCCAGAGTACACAGGCCACTCTATGTCGACTAATTAACTGCTAGTGAGAACGAGAACCAAAGTTTCATAGCCTAAATAAGTCAAAGTTAAAACAAGCCAAATCTTGACAGACTGAGTCCCAGTGAAACATGCTTATTTATATGGCCAGTTTATTCATGCAACAGCTCTCTCCAACTGACTAATCCTGTCTCATTTCATTGGGGGCCTTAGAAGTAATGGCCGACCACTGGAAAAGGATATAAAGACGCCGTAAATTATCTGTGGTCAGCATAGACAGCATTTTCCTCATCAGTTTACTACAAGTCTCTCGCTGTACATCTCAGTCGCTCGTTTTTCGTCTCAGTCACTCGTTATCTGCATTATTTCTCCTACCTATTCCAAGGACTTACCAACCTCACACCTATCGTCGTCTAAAATGCATTACAATCAGCTTGCAAGCATTCTCGTTGTGATTTCAACAGTCTCTGGCCTCTCGGTTTCCAAATCAGTAGCTTCGAATATAGATAAGAGACAGACCGCAGGAATCAACAATCCTGGATTTACCTGTGGATCTGATACGTTCTCTCAAGAAGTAGTTGGAAAGGCTGCCGAGAGATCGTGTACACTTCAGGCCAATCCAGACCTCGATGACTTCTTCACACTCCGCCGCTTTCCAAGGAACTTCAAGCCCAAACCAGATCAGGGCGAATTTACCGGCGTCGAAGGGGAACAACACATTTTTCCAGTCTTCAAAGATGGAGACGTCTTCCAAAATAGTAAATTAATCCTTTCATTGACGTGCAAACTGCTTGGCTCTACTGCTACTCAAACATGCTAACTTTCATTCTTAGACAGGTTATCGGGCAGCATTCGCGTCGTAACTACGGGTCTTGATACAACTAACTGCACAGTAATTGGTCTCGTCAAGGAAGAAATAAAAGTTGATGCTGATGTTGATTTTAATGCTTCGGCCACCGATGTTGATCTCGATTCCGATCTCGATGTTGGTAAAAAATTTACTAAGTGCGAGCCATTAACACAGTGAAAAACTTAGTTGTCGGTCTCTAAGACAATTTATGGGGTAAGCCCATAGAAGTAATCATTCCTAATCACAAGGTGTGAATTTGGATGTCTCAATATTTGTATCGTCTATGGTATGCTGCTCAGGTTTTTACTCGTCGTATTTTGTTTGAGCAGGCTTCTCGTTTACTCTGCTGTCTGGCCCCAGAATGAATGAGTTCTGTGAAGTTTTTCCGGGGGTTTGGAACTTTAAATTGTCATCGGAATGAAAGGATGAGAAGAGTGCTGCAAAGGAAAGGTTTTTGGAAGGAGTGTTGATTTTTATATACCGGTATATACTTTGTATGTTATTGTTTTGATGAAAAATATTATCATCTCTAACTTTCGATTTGTTGCCTTGGAGGATTGTGTGAGTGCGGCATCAACCGTAGGACCTAGGTCGAATCAATCAACCGCGGGTTTTTGGGGGTCGGGTGTTCGAGTATATCCGTTCGATGAGCTCCATCACGAATGTGGCAGGGTATGACAGACCTGCGCAAGTATTCGAACGGCTGCCTTTGAGAATTGAATACTGACTTCGTCATGATACGTGTATTCTGCTTTCCCGTACTGGGCTATAAATATAATACCCCCCCTGACCCTGTTGAGCTTAAGATCTACTGAGTGCCCTCTTTCGTATCTCGTGGATCGTAAGACTGGGCATTATATTGATGGCCATTTTCTGTATCATTTCACACCTGAATATCTTTCTGATACAACATATTTTTTTCAACTATTAATAATTCCTATGCGTCCGTCTGCATTTCCCCTACTTCTCACATTATGTCTACCACTAGTAAACGCAATATTGTGAGGGGCGAAATAACTATGGGTAATCTATGCCGGCAATGACGATCTCTTTATGTTTTATCAGTGCCGGTGCAGACGCTCAGATTTCTATGTTTTTTGTAAAATAACAAGAGCGTTGGTCAGACACAATCGATTCTGCACCTCAACATAAAGTTGTGGCTGTGATTATTGATTTTTTTGCATCAGATTTCAATTGCGTATGCAACCATCTAGCTATGACATAATATCAGTGTACATGTGTTTAGAAGAGGAGTCGAATTGACATCATTTTATCCTTCATGATTACATAAGCTTCCCTCTACCAAAAAGGTCACGAACTAATGAGCGTATCATATTTCATTAAAACACAGTAGGGGTGTCAACAGTATGTCACCCATCAACTGCTTCCAAGCGTGTGGAGATAAAAGGGTTTAATGAATTCAGATGTACTTGAAAGACAATAACTCGATAGGAATTAATAACTTTTTCCTTGGGAAGACAATCTACCACTTACTCTCACATCCCTTGTATGCTCTGTGTAGATTAGTCTTAACTCCCTCCATTGGCCACCTGAGAATTATCCCTTTTCCCCGGCTCAACTACTCTCCTGTACCAAGCCGGCAAAGACGAATTCTTCACCTTCCAGTGGTGCCGGTGTAATCGCTCAGTATGCTCTGCATATCTGGGATAGCCAAGAAGAATCACATCCGAATCGAAGTCGAAAGCAAACACATGCATATCTCCATTTAACGACTTCTCAATCATGCAGCAGTCACCATTATCTTCTGAGTCCTCAACCCCGATCTAACCACATATCATCTTGCCTCGCCGACCGATAAAGGCATCACCCCAATTGCAAACAGGAGCTTGCCTCATTCATTACCGGCCATCACTCTCTACATATTTACGACGCTATTTATACCCGCAAGGAGGAAATCAAGTCGAAAAATACAAGGCCTGGGTCTTGATTTATGGGGGACTGCTGCTCTAATGGGGTTATACATCTTGAGGAAGAACAAGCGGCTGAGATGTGGAGCGAGAGGGGAAAGAGGTCTCTGAAGACCATGCTGGGACCGACATTTTCGAGGAGTTGGCAACTTTGGATTTTTTGTGGGCGCCAAGACCAAGATTTCGGCTAATTAGCCAGGAGGGCTTCTTTTGTCGATGAGTCAACGGCACTCTCCAGCACCCTGGACGGCACAAAACAAGTTAGGCTAAGCTACTAAACAGCAATCATGCTCTTTCAAGACTTTTCTGACATTTCAGCACGACCTTCGGGAAGGAGCTGGAAGGAGGCTAGAAAGGCAGAGGGTGAATTTCCCGAGGTACCCACAAGTCTGCAGCGCCCAGCTGGCCGGCCTCTTTGAACGCATCAGAAGGGTCACTATGTCTTCGGAGTTAGTCCTAATGTCGGTATTAGGAGAGCTCCGCACCCAGTGGTTTTTGCGAATTTTCCCGGCTGCCATACACCCGCAAATGGCCATCGTTTCGTTGGCTGGAGAGGGGAGATGATGAAGGGCAAAGGACTCCTTTAAGTGTATGATTGAAAGAGGGCTTTGGAGGGGCAGCACTGTTTGAGGGGAGCTGTATGGGAGGCATAGGAGGGGATATACTACTGGTATAGGTATCCTTGGCCTGTAGGCAGAGAGGACCTGCATGTCCTACACAGTCACAGACTCAGACAGGACAATAAAATGAATTAATAATAATAATAATATTAATACTCTCCTGTACCATACTTCCCATTTGGTACGTGCCACCCTTGATACCTCCTTAGCGGCCCATTTACATTTCCGTGAGCGTTACTCTGCCACAGCCTAAACTCGATGACGGAGTGGTCCAAGTGACCAGTCCCAATCCGGACTAAGCCCGTCACAAGAGGTACTTGTACCCTAACAATCACATCACTACCCGCCAAAATAAACCTCCCTCATTTTTTATCACTTGCAATGTATTCTTCTATCTAGTACTTGTTGGAATGAAATAACAATTGTTACACTAATAAAGACTTAACAACTTTATACATCTAATCTGTACTTTTCTTTGATATTGTGTCATAGTGTTGTAAATGCAAGGTCATGGGAGGTGGAATAGTTACCGGTAAATAACTGCATGTTCACTGAGACTTGAAGATAGAGGCAGATTGTAATGAATTAGTAATTAACTGGCTATAATATAATTCTAGAGAATCACTACTTTTTTATACACATACCACATTCTTGTAAACTCAAATATGACATAAATGGATAATATATACCACATTCTATGGCTTTTCTTATCCCCAGTCGCTCAGTTCCATTCAGCTCTGAGTCATCACATTCTATTCCATCCTGTTCTATTCAATATGACTCTAGTCTGTTCTGTTTTAACCATCAGATTCTACATCTCTATGATCCACAATAACCAGATGCAGGGGTGGTTGTGTCATCAATCACAACACATAGCTAGATAACTTCTTACGAAATTAAAATCTGATGCAAAAAAATAAAAAAGATTTAAAAAAATTAAAAGACACATTTCCAGTCATATATACACCGTTCATAGTCCACGAGTGATCCAGCTCTGTAGAGCCAACACTAATATCTTCTACTCGTGTCCTAAACGGAGCGAGTGATCTGTCTTCCCGCCTCTTGTTTAATATCCGAAGGCCATTATCATGTGCCATAGATCTTCTATAACACAACATGTCATGCAGACTTCCTGTCCAGCTGGTGACCACTAACTGTCAGGTAAATATGTGACCCATACGTTAATTACCCCGTGATAATAACTTATTGATTAGGTCTCAACAGTACTAACATAGAATCGATGTTTTATGTGCCTCTTTGCTGACTCTTTTGACTTCAGAAACTTTCACAATCTGAAATTTAGTCGTAAATACCACTGTGATGCATTTCTGCTTATGCAGAACATTTGACCCTCTTCGGTGAGTACCCACCATACTAAAGTTTCAATCCCTTCAACATCCCGTAAATGGGTATCGGGAGAAATGTGGTCGAGTCTTGCTGGTTTCAAACCAGTTATCTCCTGTTTCGAGAAGGACGGGTGTTTAATTTATCCTGACTCTACTCGAGAGATCAGCCCAGGTAGTATGACACTGTATAGTCCAGGCACAGCCCACGAGTATGTTATATGAATTGTCCTGGAAATTGACGTGGGCTACAAACTGCTCTTAATCGGGAGTAACTCCTTCCTGGACTCGGAGTATGTCCCTTCTAGAGATTGTAGATTTCCTTAGCACCACTCTACCTTTCTATGCTCATCACTCTCACGTCCATCCCGAGGATCTGTCCCACCAGATTTGTGCATCGCAGTTTTGGTGCTCCTATGGGTATTAGTTTTAGGATTGGCATGTATTTCCCGGCTAGTTGAGGCCAGAGTTTGAGCAGATAGGCGGTGTGAATATGGAATCGAGGATTGACTTCATTGTAACAGTAGATTAGATCTGGCTTTAGTCGACATGTTTCTTTTTTTTCGCTCGAATGTTTCTTGTACTGGTGGAACGATTGACGTGCTAGGGAGTCTTGAAACATTGCCACGTGGACAAACTTCCACGGAACTGTGAAATCTAGATTAGATTAGAATTTTATTATAGTCCTAACCGAGTCATTGACTATGGAGAACTCCTAGAATCTATATGCGATGCTAGCTACATTTTGCAAATTCCAATTGGCTAATTTTCAACTTTGCTCTCATAGACATAGAGGGACAAACCCTACACGATTTCTAGCATTGCTCGGCACGAGGATAACATGTCGTGCCGAGGTCCGTATTGCCCGTCCCGAAAAAAATTTCAACCCTGACATACCTCGATCGCCCCTCTACCTACCAAGGCGTTCAGTCTCACGAGTGTTCTACGTCTGACTCATGACAGCACCGTGCTTGGAGGGCAACGATTGGGCACCAGTACGCGGTATCCTCTACGAGCCTGGGAGCGAAACATTCTCCCAGAGCCGAGATTCAGTCACGAGAGAGGGTGGGATGAATTTTATTTGATGGATTTTCGACTTGAAGGAGTTGCACTCGATATTTTGGTCGAAAACTCAGTCGGCAGAGATTTCACAACCGCGACAACGTCGAACAAAAACTCATCACCAACATACGATTAATGAATGGGCTTAGGTCTGTCTGGGGGTCGTATTCAAACAAACCACATCTCTCAAACTTCTTATATATTTACGACGAAGCATTTCTGACTCGATTCTACATCTGCGACCCGCCTCCATATTCGTCACATCACCTATCTACATACGCCCTAATGAGGAAGATCATGATGGAAACGGGACTTGTACAAAGGAGGAATAATAGGGAAGGTACACTGAGTGGATTACACAAATCCCCGATTACTACAATATCCCAATGGTACGATATGAAGGTGCAAAGCTAGAGCAACGATGAGATCCGGGACTACATCTATATTTTGGAGTCAATGAGGATGTCAAGGGCTCGGGCGGGTGGTGGCCGAGGCCGAGGATGAACATGCACTACGGCGTTTATACAGCGGGTTTCTGGACGGTAGGGCTTGATATGATTCAACACATAGGTGAAATCTGAGGTGGTCCGGTCATTTAAGTGGGACGAGGTAAATCTGTACTTCACGGTAGTAAACTAGATCCATGCTGGCCCCACTCGTGCTTAAGCTCCAGTAGCAGTGCGATAGGTGACATATATTTAGCACGTAAATGAACAGAACAGAATGGAACAGCACCATGCTTGATTGTGTGGCATGGACTAGAGGTTCCTGTTATGGTTATGAGCTATGCGGAAGTCACATTGCGGAGTGATGAGAGGATGATGTTATATTTAGTGGTTGACAGTGAAAAGACTCATACAATATTATGCTGTAGGTATATGGACAGAAAGTATAAGACTAAACCTATATCCATTTATCGTGAGTACATCTATGAAACTATATACATGCTCTCCTAACCAGTACACAGGTGATGTATACTGTTGTCTCGAGCCACACGCGATGCCCTAGTCTCGACTACCTCGTCGTCTCATAGTAAAACAATTACAAACTCTACCCGAGTGGAAACTCACACAGCATACCACAGCGCCATTTGTTATCCCGCTCGACCGTAATTATCTTTGTAAATCAAAATGGTCAGGCTTTAGTCCTGCTTTCAACGAGCATGACGCACCAATCAGAAACTTGCAAATACCAATATTAGCTAAAACACCCGTGCAATGGATTGCTTACGAAGATATCACTCCTTAGACAAACGGAGACTTACACCCCAAACTTAACCACAAATCTCCGACTAAGTGGCACCAAATCATTCGTGAGCAAACCTGTTATTTTAATTAATCGTAGTTTGGTCGCTCAAAAACGGGAAATTGATCTTTGTCGATTAATTCATCCAATCTAATAAAAGAGAAAACAAGAGATTTTATGATGTAGCCTGCCTATAGGGCTGAATACCTGTATATTTGGTATAAATTTTAGAAAAGTATAGATCTACGTAGTATGAAATACTTGACAGGCCAGGGACTCAATGTTCCATCACAGCTAAATGTCTGTAATAAGTTGGCCACAGGAGCATAGAACGACTCGCAAATCAAATCTTGTGATGAGGAAATGAGAGGCTAGATAGATAAAATAGCCAACAATTAGTTTAACTTTATTTGATAAATATGAGGGGCTGAAATTGCCATGAATGATTGAAGGAGTATAACAAGATTTGCTTCGAGAATATCAAAGCTAGAATAAGCAGTACTTTTAGGAGATCTAGCTCCAAAGACTAGGCCTAGAGATTACTAGATCGTCTTCTTCAAGAGAAATGACACATGCCGTACATGGCTTTTCGCTCACTAACTTATTCCATAAGTCCTCAGCGTAACCGAACCTTTTCTGCAGTGTTGAATGTCAATGCAGTAGATAAATCGCGTGGAATTCGAGAAAAAGGAACGCTTTACATAATAAAAACTAAGCCACCAATTGCACAGATCAACATGGAGAAAGTGAAATTCGTCAATCTGCTGGCAGAAGAGGCGATAGGGGAACTTGGCGAGGGAGCAGACGGGCCGTTGCCACCTGCTCCACCACCTACTTTTGTTCCATTGCCACCAGCGCTGCCGCCGCCACCACCACCGATGTTTCCACCGGCGCCTCCACTGGGTCTAGGAACTGCACCAGAAGGACTAGATGCTCCACCATTCATGCCAGGTGTCATGGCATTGGGGGTAGATTTGGTCGGTCCAGTTTCGGGTTGTTTCCCAACGGCTTTAGCTGATGCGGCAGCGTAATTTTCTAAAGAGCGGGCTGGATTTGCCTTAGTGCTAGAGGGCAGGATATCAGTTTGGATTTCTGAATTGAAAAAATGTAGCTAAGACTTACTTCTCGTTGATGACCATGCTCATACCATTCTGGCAATGCTTTCCTTGAGAGCAGTAAATCCAGATTGGCATGGTTGAATTGACCATGATGGTGTAAGTGGGCATATTATTGGAGCCTCCTGTAACCGGCATATAGCCAGAGAAGAAGCCAGTAACTTCTGGGGTCGCCATAGAGATGGGCATACAAGGTTGGTCAAAAGTAGATTGAGTGACCGTGTGGTTTCCACCAGCGAATTGGAATTGCACCATTTCACCGGCTGCTGCAGTTATTTTTTTTGGCGAATAAGTCAGGGAGCCATTGTTGGATCCAACTTTGACTACATGTATCATAACTTGATCTTTCTGAGCTACTTTGAGTTAGTTTTTAAAATCCAGAATTAGAAACAGAAGTGTCAATACCTAATACAGATCCAAGGCCCATGATGAGGGAAAGCATAAGAGATGAGGAGAAATGCATTTTAAAGAGGGAAATGGTAATTTGATATCCAGATCTTTCAAAAAGAGAGTTGGCGTATAAAGAGAATGTGTAAGCGACTAGCGCTTGTTGATATAAAGATGAAAAGATACAAAGAGAGTTGAAGGCAAAGAGAGAAGGAAGAAATCTGCTCACGATCTGGAGGAGTGAACACTTATACAACGTTTGAATCAGGGTGTATCATGACTAGACATAACCAGATGTACTCCTTATAATATAAAACGATACTGTCAACTGGTTATAGAGCCTGTATCGTGGCTTATCCTGGGGCCGAAACACGTAGGTAAATATTATCAAACGGAAGGTGTGTGATATATGAAAAGATGTTGTTCAATAATATTCAGACGAAAACCTTTGTAATTCGTGTCACGGTCAATTTATGCCAGAAATTTTTTATCTGACGCCAGTTGAAGAACCTCTCAGAATAGTCATGATGATAGCCCTAGGTAAAATTCCCAGATCTCGCTTTTTGCTAGTAGTTGTTATAGGGTTGTGTAGTCCATGACAGTCATTAAGGTCGCCAGCCCAGCCCTTGAGGATAAGTAGCCTGGTAGTGTATGGATTGGAACTCTCCTCGGGCCCCGATTTTTTCAGCTATAGATCCTCACATACTATACTAACAGTGTGGCTTATACATAAGTCACTGCGATGAGTTCCAAAAAATTTTTGTCAATAGTACGTAAGGCAGTTTACTTTACTGAACCAAGGTATAGAGATCCTGGAGAAAGCATCGTGCCGGAATTTCGAATCGAAGTTTGCGAAGACGAGGTTTTAATTGCCAAGTTTCAATAAAATCGTTACACAGAATGTTGGGGGTGAACATGTTGTTAGAATGGTAATGTGTTTCATAGTCTGCCTGCTGACTCGTAAATTGACATGAGTACAGGCTTACGAAATCTTTACCCTTTGAATTAACAAGAACGCCTCATTTTCGATTGAGAGAATGAATTCAGCTGTGTTACTTGTGAGTCTGGAAAACACCTGTGTAGGAGAGTTAATTGAGGTGCAGGGCCCCCTAGCCTTTACTGAAGTTGGTCATGGCAGTTAACGGTCGTATAGGATAATCCTTTCAGACCATGTGGCCGTTCATCAACGCTGGGTATCCACTGGAGATCGGATCGCCCAGGCAGGGTCCTCGTAATAGACCCGATTCTGAGACATCTAGTCCGACAAAAGAACCCTAACATCAGGGAGTCTCATTCTTCAATACCAAAATATTCGTAAAGATTGTAGATACAGTGCGTTTCATTGGGAACCACGGCTAATTCGTCAAATCTGTCCAGCAGACTTTTTTTGTTTGGTGCATTGTAATGTACCCAGATGCCGGTGACAAATGACTCTGTACTGTTAAGCAAAATTGAAATTCTTAATTCTTTAGAGTCTCCTGATACCCAAGGCTTAGGTGCAACACAAAGGAGGAAAGTAAGACAACGATGCCTTCGTCCCATAGCCTTACCTCTCAGAGTTAATTCTGGGGTATTTACTTTGGGGAATCATAAGACACTCGTAATTCCACTACATAGCGCCACATATATTTTCTCGAAATCTCATACTTCTAACGAATTCTAATGTTATGATATTTGGATAATATTTAGCTTTAATCTACCAATATCTGTCTTGATTTTAAGTTCGTTTTGGTCGTTGCTTATAACTTGTACTCCGCCAGCCCCCGTCCTCACTTAGATGAGGATCCCCAATCGCTTTCGCGGTATGTATCGTCTTCATCTCTCAATCCACCCCCCTATCACCACTATCATGAAGCTAAGCAAGATTAGATCAGATGGTAGGGTCGAAGCCCTTCTCATCACCAATCCTTGATCGTGGAAGAGAATCAATCCGATGAGTTTCCGGAGCGTACCCTGCACCCGATATGGAGGTGGTGGATTGGATCAAGATGGCCTCTAATGTTACAAAGAAGGGAAATGCAGATGAATATGTGTACATCTCGAAAATGGAGATACAGAGTGTTGTGGACGTACAGGTCCCCCATTTCGTCTAAGTTCCCGACACGATCTTGTGTATATAATAGAATATAATTAAATTTAAGTCCCTAGATCTTGTATGTATTTAAGAGGTTAGAGTGGTAAATGAGATAGTGCTACAGGCTACCTAATGAATACATGAGCGGCTGTATGGCGTGTGAATAAGAAGGTTATTGGGGGTTTTCTATGCCTAGATAGCGCCACATTCGGTTTTACTGTGGCTTACGCTCTGCATCGCTTATTATTATTATGTTTCATTTTTTTGTCCTATCTAAGTCTATGACTATATAGGACATGCAGGTCCTCTCTGCCTACAAGCCAAGGATACCTATGCCAGTAGTATATACCCTCCTTTGCTTCCCAAACAGCTTCCCTGAAGAAGTACCATCCCTCACAAGTTCTCATTCGATCATACACTTAAAGGAGTCCTTTGCCCTTCATCATCTCCCCTCTCCAGCCAACGAAACGATGGCCATTTGCGGGTGTATGGCAGCCGGGAAAATTCGCAAAAACCACTGGGTGCGGAGCTCTCCTAATACCGACATTAGGACTAACTCCGAAGACATAGTGACCCTTCTGATGCGTTCAAAGAGGCCGGCCAGCTGGGCGCTGCAGACTTGTGGGTACCTCGGGAAATTCACCCTCTGCCTTTCTAGCCTCCTTCCAGCTCCTTCCCGAAGGTCGTGCTGAAATGTCAGAAAAGTCTTGACAGAGTGTGATTGCTGTATAGTAGCTTAGCCGAACTTGTTTTGTGCCGTCCAGGGCGCTGGGGAGTGTCGTTGACTCATCGATAATTGAAGCCCTCCTGGCTAATTATCTGACACCTCGGTCTTGGCGCCCACAAACTTTCAAAAGTGAAAAACACCTCGAAAATATAAGACCTAATATTTCCACAGGAGGTCTCTTCTTTATATCTTTCCACGCCCCAGTCCTATGTACTTCCTCAAGATGTATAGCCCCATTAGGGCAACATTCTCCCATAAACAAAGTGTGAAGCTCTGTGTGGGCTCACATGCCTACCTTATATAGTAAGATAGCTATCAGATACACAGATCTAATGTTGAGCCTTTTTAAGCCAATCGGCACTGTGGTAAAGCTGCCTCATTACAGTTGCATGTCTTCAGCATGACGAATGTGGCACGTGCATATTTGTGGCCCGTGCGTCACATCAGGACTCTAACTTTGTACCTCAAATCTTAATTTTCTTCTTAGAGGTATTCGTAATGTCATAAGTTTCATTGGGGAGGGCAAGACTGAACACCTGTACGCGGTGTCCTCTACGAAACTGAGAGTGAAATATTCTCTCAGAGCCAAGTTCAGTCAAATTTCGCAATATCAAAGAAGTTGGCCCACGAGGCAAAAATTCGAATTACTCCACCATCTCAATCTTTCACTCCCAAAGAGTCCGATTCTCAACTAAGCTTCATCAAGTCTACAAGTACGACCTAGTACATCCTCATTCCAATGATCACGCCTCTTGTCGACTTTCTCTGGCCTTAGCTGGTCACCAAATACACACCCACGCCGATATTTATACCCGACGGAGGAAGCAAAGCGTGGCGCACAAATCTGGGAGACAGTTCTTTGGGATGGACGTGAGAGGGATCAAGACAAGTTTACAAGATGATGCGAAGGAAGGATATAACCTTGAAGGGAGTGAAATTCTGAATTTTGGCAAGCAGTTTTACGAATTGAGCTTTGTGCGCGCCAAGACTTCGCTTGTGAGAGTGCAGCTGACACTATAAAAACAAGCCAACGATGGAAGGTGTCGTGGTCCGCCTCCTGGTGGTGTTCTCTGGTATGGTTTGAGTAGCCTGGGCACCTACTCCACTTGGAAAGGAGACACCTCAGATCACATATCGCGCGGAGAAAAGTTGAAAGATGATGAAGGCATGTCTGGATAACTCAGGGGTTTTGAGACGTCCCACCGGGTGGGTATTAAGGGATGAGGGCTGAGGGTTGACTTGGGGTGAAGAAAAAGCCACCATAACTTCGCAGTGGTACTTGCAAATGAAATCTGAGGCATGAGTGCTCTTCCCTTACGTTGAATCATCCATTCTATACTTTTCTTTGAAATTGTGTCATAGCTAGATAGCTGCAGACGCAATTAAAATCTGATGCAAAAAAAAAAAAAAGTTTCATTGGGAGTGGGGTGGTAATGAATAAGGCTAGCTCCTGTTTGCGGAGGATACCGAGCGATTACAACGACACTACCTGAAGGTGAAGAATTCGTCTTTGGCGACACGAAATAACGATGTAGATAGCGAAGAGTCTTGAGGGTCTAAAAGCTAAAGGACTCGATAAGTACTTCATGATCCAAGCCCAAACCAATCAACCTAGTATATCGTTCAAACTTTTCGAATTTCGAGTACATGGCCGGGAGACAGAATAAGGGTTTTTCCAAGCAAGGCTTGGGATCCGAAATACTCGAGTCTATCAGCATATGATACGAAAAGTTGAAGAATAGAACAGAATAGAATTTAATTTAATTCCTAATGAGTCTATGACTATGAAGGATTACCTATATCAGACAATACAGTACCAAAATTTAATTGTTTTATATGTTTTTATGTGTTGTAAGTCGAAGATAATATATGCAATTTTAGTAGGCAGGAAAAGCAGAATATGCAACACCTGTTGTTACATTGTCTCAAATTCAAAGACCAAAGAAATAGATGTTTGCAGAGCAAAGAGCCAAGAACACTTCCGATACTACCTCGAACTAAGATAGTACAGGAAGTCCTTCTTAAATATTTGGATTAATCCAAGTGCATGGAAGCACAAAAAGGACATCTAAATAGGAAACAACAATTGGAAATTAAATACAGGAAAGACACCTGAAAGGATAGTGAAATCCCTCAGAAGTATTCAAAGAAAATGCTTAAAGCTTGTTGCAGGTGCCTACAATTCTACTATCAGCAGAGTGCTAGAGCACGAATCGTCTGTCCTCCCTATAGAGATATACCTGAAACAAAGGAGGGTCCAGCACGCCGGACTATC